AAAAAAAAAAAAAAAAAAAAAATGGGAGCTTTTGCTTTTCTTTTTGGAGGGTTTTATGGGACGTCTCACGTAAGTTGGCAAGTGAGGACACCTGATTCTGGTTTTCTGTTTTGGTTGTTTTTTGTCTGTAAATTTTAATGAGAAAATGAAAGCAAATGATTACAATTTCACCGCTAAGGATAAAAGGTGGAAAAGGGAGACGTGGGTTCATATGCTTGTCATGCAAAACACCCGAAAAATATGCAGCCTTTTGTGGATTGTTGTGAATCTGCTCCTTCCTCATTTACTTTATAATCTTCTGTAATGAAAACTGATAATCGATAGGAGATAAATAATTTTTATTTTATTTTTTTATTTATTTATTTTTTTATTTTTTTATTTTTTTTGCCAAAGAGAATCGTTGTTGTGTCTTTCTCTATCGGCCTCGAATCCCTAAATCCGCCGAACCCTACTTCCGTCAATTTCAGTCGCCGCCGGTCTCCTTCTGCAGCCGTCCGGTTGTCGGTGGATTGCTCTTCGCTGCTCAACCATGCTCTAGTCGCGGGGTACTCTTTTTTCCCTCAATTGGGCAGGAGCTCGGGCGGTTGTAGCCAAGTCGCGATTGGGGTCGGACCTGTGCGAAAGCCGTTGGCGTTCCAGTGTAGTGTGGAAGGAGGAGTACTGGGTCTGGGATGGTTGTGGCCCGAACCGATTATGTTCTCTCCGAGCTGGGGCGTTTCTTCTCGCCGGTTCCTAAGGTAAGCTTTGTTCCCGTTCTCTTGCTCTTGTCGGGATCGGTTTGTGCCTTCCGGTATCAGGCTTCTTGGTGTAGCTGGGGGACGTTCAGGGTTCCGTCTTTAGGAATTGGTGGAGAGCGACTTGCTCGGCTGGGCTATGTCGGTTCGTTGGGGCTTTGTCGCCATTTGTTCATCTTCCTTCCTTGTTCTCTGTTTCGGAGTCTGAGGGAGGCCAGCCGTCTCCGGTTTTGACTAGTGGTGTTAGTCGACTTCAGGATGGTGTCGAACTGGGCTAGTGGTGTTAGCCGGTTGGAGGACAATTGTGGCTGCTTACAGCGGAAGAGCGGGTCGGTTTGTTTGGATTGGTTCAAGGCTCGGGTCTTCGTCTTTGCTAGGCATTTGGAAGTGGCGGGCGTGGCTCCTGTGGTTTGATTTGTTCCTTGGAATTGGCCTATGTCTGCCGTTCAGTTTAGATGTTCTGCCGAGGGGGGCCTCGATTTTTAGTTTTTGTTATGTTCTTTTAGTGTTTATGTTGTTTCATGTTTAGGTTTGTTTCGTTTATTCTGTGTGGTTTGTCTTGTTCATTTGGTTGGGCCCTTGGCCTTTGTATTTGTCGGAGTGTCATCTTATTATCTTATTGGGATCGGACACTCAGGTATTATCCTGGTGGAATCTGTCTTAGTTTTCGTTTTAGTTTGTGTTGTTGGTTAGTTTGTGGTGAGTCCGTTATTCTAGTGTTGCTAGGCTTTAGGCGATCTTTGGATCTGCCTCCCAGTTTTTCAGTCTTTGGTTATACTATTCAGCCTTTGGCTGCTTCTCTTCGCACTTTGTGCAGTTTTTAGTTATATAGTACCTCTATTGTTTTGGCAAAAAAAAAAAGAGTGGTTTGAATTGTCTAGTGTTTGTCCCATTTTTGTGTCTTTATTTTGGGTTATTTTCACTTTATTTTTCCCCACTTATAGGATTTTTGTGGTTTATTTGGTCCAGTTCTGTGCTTTTGCGTTTTTTCTCTTTAGTTTCATTTTGTGCGTCTTTTTGTTGTGTTTTGCTTCGTGTTTTCTCCGTGTTTGTGTTTTCAGGAGGTAGGTTGTGTCGGTCGAGGATGGGACTGCTTGAGCTGAGACCGGGATATCAAGAATACTCATTGACGTGCTCAGATTTCTGAAGGAAGGACTGAAAAAACGGACTGAAGAGATGCCCAGAAATTCTCGCGACTCGCAGGTCAGTGTCGCGATTCGTGAGATGGTCGCGACTCGCGAGAATGTCACGACTCGCGAGTCCAACAGAGACGAAAAGGAGCTGTTCGCGAGAAGAGTCGCGACTCGCGAGTCAATGTCGCGACTCGCGAGATTGAGTCGCAACTCGCGACCTAAATCACGACATTCCCCAGAAAATAAAAGATTTTTGAAGACGCGCAACTCGCGAGATGTCGCGACTCGCGACTCGACAAAAGTGAATGTCGCGACTCGCGACTTGATCGGCGCGATTTTCAAGGACGGGTTTTTAACATCAGAATTTCAACCTAGACCTCATTATTGACATTCCAGACTTCGTTTTTACACTTTTTCTCTCTAAAAAAACTCAATCCCTTTTCATACTTTTGCTATTTTTGATTGGTTTTGGAGATTAAAACTCTGTTTTCTGGCTTGGATTTGGATTGTTCAGTGGATTTGACAGTGGGATTCTTTTATTAATCGTAAGTTCTTCTTTTCTCAATTGTGTGATTGATGATGATGGCTTGGGTTTGTATGAATGTTGATGTTGAATTCTATATGAGTAGCTAAATCCATACGCTAGGGATAGGGGATGATTGATTAGGTTCGATTATAATTGCTTGTTCTTAATTGTTCATATCTATTCAAGTTGTTATTATTCTAGGGTTAGTAGATTGATCACCTTCTTAACCTCATTAATCAACGTGTAGAACCGAGAGGGGAGACGTTGGTCGATATAGGCTTGTTTAGAGTAGACTTGTTCGTAATAGTATTGTCTATGAGTTGTTGGAATTGATAGTTGATCGTGTACGTTCACTCTCTTGTTACGAAGAGTTATTGAGAGCCTCTGGACGAGAAACGATTCAAGTCCTTTAACCGAGCAATTGATTGCCGGTAGTTGTGTTAGAACCGAAAGCAATTATCCCCGATTCCCTAGCTCTTTAATCATTTGAATAAACTCGTTTGCTATTTAAATCCCTTTTCATTTATTTTCAAGTCGCTAGTTATAATTAATATCAAAACCATTGAATAGAGTGTTTAGGATTTTCTATTTTCCGTGATCGAATACGTACGATTGAATCCGGCTAACCTTCTTTGCGATACGACCCGGGGAACGAATCTTTGGATTCTACTCCGGTAAAAATACTCACAACAAAATTGGCGCCGTTGCCGGGGACGGTTTAGGACTTTAATTGTGCGCCTATTCGTTTATTTTTCGTGTTTCTCTTGTTTTCTTTTTATTTGTTAGGTGTTAGTTCTTTGTTTTCTTTTGATTTCATTTTATTTTCTTTTGTTTATCTGGTGCTCGTGACGGTTTCTTGTCTTTGTGTATGCGTACCAGGAGTGGACGCAAATTGCTATCTCCGATCAACAAATCTGTCAACGAGAGCCTGAGGGAACTGCTAGAAGTACTTACTCTGGAATTGCACGGGGAAGACGAACATTCTCCAAAATCATCCGAAGGCAGCAACCTCGATATGGGTGAACGACAACAGTAAGTCCCACGTAACACCCTCCGAACCTTGGGTGAACGACAACAGCAAGCCCCCCGTAACACCCCCCGTAGCAACTTAGGTTATGGATGGTTGATTTGTTTAGGGTTTCGGTTTGGGGCTTTGGCGGGTGGATGCGGATCTGGCTGTGGTAGTGGTGTTGTCTGGGCGTTGCTGTGTGGTGGTCGATTTTGGGCTCTGATGGTCGTCGTGTGTTCGTGGTGGTCGCTGGAGTGGGAGATTGAGCTGGGGACAGCTTTTTCGATTTTTCCACTACATTGGAAAGCTCGGGTTCCGGTTCATCTGGGTCCGGCTAGTGGTGTTAATCGGACCTGGGTCGATCTGGTTGGGGCTGTTGGGCTTGATCTCCCCGGTTGGTGGGTTCCGACCATCAGGTTTGGATCGGGGGCAGGGTCCCGCCTCTTGTTAGGCCTTCGGCAGTTTCGGGGGTTGGGACTTGGCTAGGGGACTTTCCTTAAGTTGGTTGTAGTTGCTTGCTCGGGTTTGTCGGTTCTTCAGGGGAGGGTCGTTTTAGTTTTAGTAGTTGTTTGTTGGGCTTGTTTGCTTTGTAGGTTGTCTTTTCATAGTTTTTTCAGTTTGTTTTTCGTTTTTGGTTGGTAGATGATTACATGCTAGTCACTGTGCATTGGTTCTGTTTGTCATTCTCCTTTATTTTCGTTTGTGGAGTTCTTTAGGCCGCCATGTGCGTATCCTCTCAGTTTATTCCAGTTTGTTTAGTAGGGTGTTTTTAGTTTGGGCCGTTGGCCCTGTCTCATTACCCTGTTGGGGCCTTAAAATTACCCTGTTGGGGTCTTGTAATTTGTTCATTTTGCACCTTTGTGCTTTTTATATTACTTCTATCGTTTCAAAAAAAAAAAGAGAGAGAGAATTTTCTATTCAAGTTTTAATTAAGTTTTAAAAATTATATTACTATTTGTGTTTAAAATGATGTTTGTTACTTATAAGACTTGTTCTATTATATTATAATAAGTAGAGAATGGATCGTATGAGAATAATAGATAGTGAAAGAAATAAGAATAATCATGGACCATTGGATTAATTATATCAATTGACATGATGAAGTCAAAATTGAGTTATAATAGTAAAATAATGTAGTGACAAAATTGTAATTATATTACGACCTCATAGACAAATAAATACATTGGAGGATAGTTTCTTTCTCATATATCCTCTCTCCTCTCTCTCCCATACTATCTATCACTCTCTCTCTCTCTCTCTTTGTCGCCCGCCATCAGTTCAC